ATAAAAGCTTATATTGTGTGTTTTTTTGCTGTGCCTGTACTGATTTTGTGTCTCGGATGGATACCCCATATCCTTTGTTTTTCTATTATAGTACAGTAATTTGTGTATATTTTTTCTTGTTTTAATTACCATGTATGAGGGTATGAATCGGTTACCGTGAATGAGGGTATGAATGGTTTACCTTGAATGAGGGTATGAATGGGGTTTACAGATAAGAGAATAATGGTCAAAAAGTTAAGGCTAAAAAAAAATGGGCACAAACAATATAGAAAACAGATTAAAGCTATGATGAACTGTAAGGAATAGAGGACAATTGGCAGCAAATAAAAGACTAGAAAGAAATGGACCTAAAAATAATGAATAGATATAAAAATGAAGACCCGACATCACCCCCCCCCCCCCCCGCCGGGCAACGACCACCATCACCCCCAATACATGACACCACCACCACCACCACCCCCCCTCCCGGGCAACGACCACAATCACCCCCAATACATGACACCACCACACTCGCTTATATACATATATAAAAAAAAATCTTTAATTTTGGTTTCATGGTGCCCCCCCAGACATCGAGGTTCTGGATCCGCCCCTGACTACTTCTTGCAAACTTGTGTATAATAAATCTTGTTAAACTTTATTATTGATTTGTGTCTTTTGTTGGCTACAATTTAAAGAAATTGGGGGCTCGTCCGAGAGAACGTTAATATCAGATTAAATTTTGTTTTCAGTATTTTTATTGAATTATAATTAGCCAACATAATTCAACAAAATGGCATTTGATGCTGGTAAATTTTTGAAAACGCCAGACCTGAAAGGGTTCGATAAACTAAAGAAAGAAGAATTAGTGTTGCTTGTTTAACATCTACACATAGGTTTAAGAGAATCTAGGAGAAAACAAATTATAAAAAAAATGGTAATAGACAATTTAGTTGACTCAGAAATTTTTGGTGAAGAGGCTCTTGAACTCAAGGTCGAAAAATTGATTTTAAACATATTTTATTCATAAAGATATGAAAAGGATTGAGCAACAGGCACAGCATATAAAAGCTCTCTCCATATTACATGTACAAGGTATAAATCAAATTTTAACATCTGTATTTAAAATAATACAATATAGTGGAAAATGCATGCTACTTATGAGCACACACAAGCAAATATATATTTACAGTGTTAATTACTAAATGTTTAGTACATTTAAGTATGTAGGCAATTAATCATCATTTATTCAAGTACCTTGAGACATGTAAATATCCTTAATAAGTCATTAGAAAAATATATATAAGGTTTGGTAGAGATACTAAGCTTACTTAGTGGAATAAATGAAATATTGTTGAAGGGAAAAAGGAAAGAAATGAAAAAAGAATAATAATAAATAAACTCTAAATAAAGCAAAAATAAAGAAAATTTCAAACAAAACGGTGAGTGTCACTGATATATTCTGAACAGATTTTAAAATAGTAATATTCATATCATATGACAATAATCTGTTTCCAAAAAGTAATAAGTCAATATTTATGTCAACATTATCAACAATTGAATATAGAATCAAGTAAAATCTGTCTAACATCATTGTACTTAGGGCAAATAAAAAAGAAAAAGGTCGAAAATGTTGATGCTATCAAATTAAAACAGCTTGAATAGGAACATGAACCTTAATTAAAACAATTAGAAAAGGAAGATGAATTTAAATTAAAACAATTGGAAAACGAAGATAATTAAAACAATTGGAAAAAGAAGAAAGACAGGCAGAACTTGAAATGAGGGAAAGTTTAGAGATGGAGAAAATAAAAATTGAAATGGTCAAAGAAGAAAGCAACACTAAAGTAGTGTCGAAATCAGAACATTTATATTTTGATGCAGCAAAAAACATACGTTTGGTTCCCAAATTTTGTGAAAAAGTTGATAAATATTTTCCACAGTTTGAGAAAAATGCTCAAAATTTGAATGGCCAAAGCCTTATTGGTCTACAATGCTGCAAAGTGTTTTTGGGGGTACGGCCGCTGAAGTTTACTCTGCACTTTCATCAGAAAGTAGTTCTGATTATGACACGGTAAAACAGGAAGTTTTGAAAGAGAAGCTTATAGACAGAAATTTAGATCTTATAAAAAGTGAGATTTACAAACCTATGTTGAATTTGCTAGGGAAAAAAAAAGATATATTTGATAAATGGCCTACCTCAAAGAAAATAGATAACAATTTTGATAAAATAAGACAATTAATGCTATTAAAAGAGTTCAAGCAGTGTGTTCATTTAGACTTAAAATCACATTTAGATGAAAAAACTGTTGAGACATTGGAAGATGCAGCTGTTGTTTCCGATAATTATACCAATTCACATAAAAAAGTTTCAACGGTCAAAATTTTAATACTTCAAACGGAAATTGCTAAAATCAAAGTACTGAGCGTATTGATAGTAAGCCTTTTGCATAGAATAAGAGTCAGTCTAATTATTATATGTCTGGTCCAAAATTTGATACTTCAGAGAAGAAGTCACTGAAGAAGAATGAATGAGATAATAAGCCAAAGTCCAGTGCTTGTACGACACCCCTTGTTACCAATAAGTTGGAATGTCCTGCGAGTCGGGCTTATAAGTCCAGTTTTTGTGATTACATGGAGGATTATAAACCCTTTATGTCTGATGGGTTTGTTTCTATTGTTGATAATACTACTCCTCAGCCTATTAAGATTTTACGGGACACTGGAGCTTCTCAGACTTTATTGTTAGAAGGTGTGTTGCCTTTGTCCGAGGAGACTTCTGTTGGTGCCTCCGTTTTGTTACAAGGTGTAGAGTTAGGTTGTATAGATTTCCCCCTCCATCGTATTTATCTGAAGTCAGATTTGATTCCTGGACCAGTTGTTGTGGGTAATCATCCTAATCTTCCTGTTGAGGGTGTTTCATTATTATTAGGAAATGATCTAGTTAGGAACAAAGTGGTTCCTGAACCAGTTGTTACCAGTGAACCGGTGATGGATGTTAAATCACCTGAAGATTGCCGACATTGAAGATCCCGGTAGCTCAGAGAAGGCCATAGTAATACCACCTAGTACTAACAAGAATGTAATTATGCCATGGCCAGACGTAAACAGCCATTCATTAGACCGAAGGAAATTTGTTGAAGAACAGAATAAAGACCCTGAGGTTCTTCAGCTCCGCAACAGGGCTCAACCACAGAAGGAAGCAGACAAAGTGGCTGAATGCTATTACCATCAAGACGGCATTTCAATGAGGAAGTGGAGGCCCCTTGCTGCTATCCCAGATGAGGAATGGAGAGTGGTATACCAAGTGGTGGCGCCTAAAGTCTAAAGACAAGACATTATTGGTCTTGCCCATGACACCCTCTTGGCTAGACACTTAAATATAAGGAAGACTTGCCTAAAGATATTGCTGCATTTCTACTGGACCAGACTTAGAAATGATGTCACAGAATACTGTAAATCATGCCATATATGCCAAGTTGTTGGTAAGACTAACCAGAAAATAGCACTAACACCACTTCTGCCAATTCCAGCCTTTGAAGAACATTCTAGCAGAGTACTAATTGACTGCGTTGGACCTTTACCAAAGACCAAGACTGGAAATGCGTATTTATTGACGATCATGTGTACATCCCCGCGCTTTCCTGAGATTATTCCGTTAAGAAATATCAAGACACCAACTATTGTCAAAGCTCTAATTAAATTTTTCACGTTAGTAGGACTTCCTAAGTCTACAAAGTCCGACCAGGGTTCAAATTTTATGTCAGGTTTATTACAGCAAGTCTTGTACCTGCTAGGGACTGCTTAGACTGGTTCCCGATCGCAATATTCAGTATGTTACACATATACCAATGTGACAGCGTATGGCTATTAGCTAATACCTGGAACGTAGTACCGGGAACCAGGATAGGGACTGCTCAGTATAGGTCCAGTGCTTATCATCCAGAATCTCAAAGTGCCTTAGAACGTTTTCATCAAACAGTTTCCGTGACAACTATATATACAGTTACCAAAATTACAGATAAACATTAACATTCTTGTATTCTCAGAAGTTCTCTCAGTTGGATTGACATTTTTATTTACGGTAATAACATACTAGATTGTGACTTATTGGGTGTAATATTCTGTTTGGTTCCCGCAACAGTGAAGAGAAGAATTCCGGATAAAGAAAAGACAAATGATCGGACATATATTTTGACAGTTAAGTTGACATTTCTATTTGTGTAATACTTCTTACAAACTTGTGTATAATAAATCTGGTTAAACTTTATTATTGATTTGTGTCTTTTGTTGGCTACAATTTAAAGGTGATTTCTGGCCGTAACAATAGGAAACGCAAGCTCTGTAATATCGAATCAACTGGGAGATATATTCTCCATGTACAGGCGCTGCTGGAATGTTGCTACATAGAAATGGAAAGTTCACACAATTGGAAAGCTAAAATCATCTCCTTTGTCATAAAGTTTTGTTTTCAAACGACACTTATTGTCAATTTCTCGATGTAAGTTAAGATATGAGGCAGACTTAGTTGTATCTGTGGTATCCTTTATTTCAAGTTCGAAGGGATAGATGCGTTTAACATAGTCTCCAAACTTCGATTGATAATCCTTTCATAGAACAAGATATGTGTATCTACGTTGGCAACTCTTTTTAATAAAACAAAGTTGAACTAATTCTTTTAACTTGTCTTTGAGTCTAGAATAAGGAATACTGGTGTTAAGGGTAGAGAAATCAAATGTTTTGTATCATAAGGCACACACCCGAAGTTTTAAAACAAAAATACGGATGGTTTTAATCATGATGATTCAAAACGAGAAATTGTTTTAACATACTAGAATTAGATTTCTTTACATCAATTCAAAATGTATCGATATCACGGTGACGCATTAGTTCATACAAATCAATAATTACATTACATATAAGTACTTGATACAAAATGTGCTTCGGACAACACTTTTGCATTTACAGCCCAATAGAATTGCAAAAAGAAGCATTCAATTCTTAAATAAATATTTACTTACCCTCTACCAGTAGTGCTTTGCTAATACAAAATATATGAGTAATCAAGATCACATTCAAAAACATTTTGAATAATGGATGGCACCCTCTTCTATGTTATGCCTATATACATATACACTTTTGACAAAGAAATTTTCAACGACCTGTCATGATCAACCCACGCACGAAATGCCCCATATTTTATGTAAGTAAGTTATTAAACTTTAATTAGTCACTTTCGAAGGAGAACAGGATGAACGAAGGAAAGGGCAATTTTGATTGAGTTCAATTTTCAGAAAACAAAACCTGGTTGGATTTTCCATATCTATAAAAGTAGTCACATAATTATAATGAATTAGGCCAAGTTGGAAGCTTACTGGAAACCTAAATTAAATAAGTGTCCTTACAAACAACGTTATCTTGCAGGTTCTGCTAAATGCTCCACAAAACCTCTTTCCAAATTATTATGATCTATTTTATCAGTAAGGAAACCCGAGCTTTAGAGTTACTGTGAAACTACCCACTCTATGGATGGTGTGAATCAGATGTGGATACAAGAAAATTCAAAAGATGTGTTAGAGTTCTTATAATTTAAGGTGGTACCTAACACTACAGGGAGATAACTCTGTAAAAATCAGCTAAACGTTTTAATTACGTTGTATTGTTAAGGAAATATTAAGCTTCTCAATGATCAAAATTGGTGTTTGTCAAACTGCTATATAACCAATGAAATTTTTCTGATAAAGTGGTTGGTTCAAATTTTTTGAAATTTTTATATTTTTGTCAAAGGGTCAAAGTAAACATTTGGTCAAAATTTTATGAAAATTAACTGTGACGAGCCAAATTAATATTAGTCAAGGTGTTGGGTACCACCTTAAGTCCCACTCATCATGCAATAGTATAAAAAGAACATTTGACTTCTCTACTCATTTCACTAGTATTCCTCGTTCAAACTTAAATATAAAAACAAGAAGATGTGGTATGATTGCCAATGAAACAACTCTATACCAGAGTAAAAATGACATAGAAGTTAACAACTATAGGTCACTGTACGACCTTGAACAATAAGCAAAACCAATACCGCATAGTAAGCTTTAAAAGGCCACCAAATGTCAAACAATTTAAACGATAAAAATAACGGTCTGATTTATGTATAAAACAATAAACGAAAAACAAATATGACATACAGAAACAAACGACAACCACTGAATTACACGCTCCTGACTTGGAACAGGCACATACAGAATGTGGCGGGCTTAAACATGTTTGCTGGCGCCAAACCCTCTGGGATAGTGGTGTAACAGAACGACATAAGAACAAGATAAAAAATCAGTTAAAAAGGGTTTAACTCATCTGATCGATACAAAGCACATAAACACCCTTACAAAAACACAAAAGACACGAAGTACAGATCTGAGAGTACTCGCAGTTACTGAAATCTAGTTCAAAGCCAGTTACAACTAATAGGAATGGGTCCAACTTTGATTCATGAAACAGAATGGCCAACGCAAATACAAATATCTAGTTTTAGGAAGGGACAAATTATACTTAGTAACAAAATAATGATTGGATAAAGAAGTTCACTGAAACACATCATCAAACTGCTAGATTTGTTTTATTGACAACATATTTGTTACGTTTGGCGGACAATCTGTATTCAAGGAAACAACCCTGTACTTCTGCTGACCGACTTGTTTCTTTATTTTAATGAGGCAGACTTCATACAGAAGCTTCTCAAGACAAATGAAAAGAGGCCGGCATTACATATAGTTTACTTCACTATCCGTTCTATAGATGCCCTTACACTGAATAATTCAAAGTTTGCTGACTACGACTGCATCTATCCCATTGAACTTTAAATATAGGATACCACAAATACATTTAAGTCTGTCTCATATCTTAACTTATACTTAGAAGTTGAAAATGAGGGTCTGTTCAGAACAAAACTTTACGACAAAAGAGATGATTTAAATTTTCACATTATGAACTTTCCATTTCTGTGATGCAACATTTCAGCAGCGCCTGTACATGGAGTATATACATGTATCTCCCAGTTGATACGATATGACCACAATCTCGTCCTCCTTTTTTCGAATTTTGACATTACCAAATGCGACTTATAAACGGATTTGTACTTGCATGAGCAACACGAAAGATGTCACATGTAGAACAGGAACAGCTTACTCTTTCGGAGCACCTGAGTTCACCCCGGTACTTGATGGGTTTGTGTTGCCTTATCTTCAGTTTTTTTAGTATTGTGTTGTTTTATTGTTGTTAGTCTTTTATTCGTTTTTATTTTTGACGTTGTCTGTATTTATTGGACTTATGATTGTAGATTGACCCCTTGGTATTATCGTTCTCCTTTTATAAAGTTTCATATGGCACATATGTAAATTAATCATGAATCTACGACATATGTGCCTTATTAGTTTTTAAATACATAAAAACATAATTATATACTCCTTGTTGTGTTTCCGTAGATATATCTCCGTTTTTGATACATGTAACTCTTATATTTGTATACTAAATTTCGCATATATATATATATATGAAATTTAATGATCTCGAAAATGTAGTTTTTCAACCAAGAGTGGTAGTAAGCATGATATCGGGGAAAATGTTTATTTTCCCTTAACATCATAGTTCACAATCACCTGTACATCTGTTTTTGTATTTATACTAATGTAGATCATACATGTATGTATTCAACATATACGAGAGTCACATATGTCTCCAATATGATTTTTATTCACATATGACTTATATGTATATTTACTTTTATTATTTTGTTAGTACACCACATATTCTAATTTTACCTCGGTATTTTTTTTACTTATAATGATAAAATTTACCTCGGCGCAAAAAAAAACCTTTGTGTCAATCCTACCATAATATAAATAGATATCCATTTCTGTTTATATCATCCAAGTTTATAATTGATCGCCTTAAGTACTGAAAATAATTCGGTATTATTATGAGTTAAGATTAAAAATTAATTATGTTTTACGCTGTAGCAGCATATAAAGTCTATAAAGGAGCGATAAATATAAATGGAAGAAATGAAATGAACAAAAATCGAAAAGGGTTTGATATGGGACACAAGATTAAATATATTTTTTCCCCAGATCATTCAATAAAATCGTTAATTTGCTGATATTTTTTCCCCTTTAAATAGTCAGTCCTCTTGAATTTAATTACAGGAAAGTATAATAGAAAGTTGCTTTGAAGAAATTTGATATGGATTTAGAATATTTTGTCTCACAGGGAAACCCTTTTTTAGGTTAATACCAAAAACAGAGGAATTTTTGTTCCAAAATTTAGATTTCCTTTTGAAGAAGAGCATATTCCACAGTGTATACATATTTCACAGTGTATACATATTTCTTAACTCGTTTGCTATACCTTGCGTTTTGAATGCAAATAAGCAATATTTGTGTATTAATTGAAACTAAACCAAGGATTTCGTCATTTACTATTGCCTCAAGCCTTTGAAATGTTTTTGTAAAAATACTAATATTTAATTGACAAAGGAGTAGGTTCGATAACGCAACCTTTTTCTAGCTTACATTCTTATAACGATTTAATTGCCATCATCACAATGTATCATAGTTAAAACAATGACTAAATAGGAAATAGGTGTTTTTCTTTTTTTTATATTTTCTTTTGTTTTTTAATTTACGTAACGTCGTTCTTTGAAGACGTAGAAATTAGAATATATTTCCATTTTGCACTAACTTGAAAGAAAACAGGCATTTCATCTAGGACACATATATAACAGTGTACAAGATTAAATCTCCCCCCCCCCCCCAAAAAAAAAAGTAACGGTTACGTTTTCATAATCTAACCAAAACACTTTGAAGAAAAATGACGTAGATTTCTAATTTGGATTTTCTTAAAATTTTTAACATCAAGTATAAATGTTTATCGAACAACATTAACATATCTAATGGAGGATTAAGTCATGACCAAAGTTGATAAATAACCTAAATAATGAGAATAACCTACTTGACATTCGATGTCAACGTACGATTAAAATAGAGAATGTTTTTTAATTATGAGGACTGCAAAATTAGATGTCATTTTTGACATTTAATAAAATTAGAGTACTTGTCACCATTCAAAATATACTTGTCATGTTTTAATTGCAGAATGATCCAAAGTGGGTTTTATTAGCGATTTTAAGTACAAAACACAGTTCGAATTAAATTCGGAAGTTGCGTTCAGGTTATAAGAGATAATCTTTGAGTTATATGAAATATACAATTGCACTATATGCAATTCACTGTCTCAGAATCTAATGCATTTTGAAAAAAAGCGTACAACAACACATAATGACTGGGTAACAACAATGGAAATTCTACACAAAGAGGTAGAGCCAATTTCCCCTGAATTTATTTAACACCAGCGCCATTTTTTTTACAGTCCTTCAATCTTTACTAAAGTTCGCCGTATCATACTGGAGTAAAAGTACTACACATGTTTCACACATGTATTTATTCACACCTTTGTAACATTTATGACACACATGTTTTACATTCGTTTCTTGTCGTAGGTGTGAACAATTTGTGGCTAACATCCGTTTCACATGCGTATTTAACACCTGTCACACAGATGATGTCTAAAAACACATGTGACACATATGTGTCATGTCACCTGTGTGGAACATATCCTAATCATGTGTGTGTGAAGGAACGAGTGAGGTAAATATGTGTTTCAAATAATTTTTACATCGCGATGACCTTGAGGTCATTCCGATGTATTGCTATCGCCTAGATTTCCATTATGTAAATTAGTTTTGGGTTTGTAACCGATCTATAAACATGATAAATATGCGCACATAAACGAGTGCAAAATAACATTCCTTGTCATTTGATATAAATACTTCTCTTCAATGAATACTGATAAAAATATTTTTGTTTACAACATAAATTAATAATGTGAAAATGTTTTGTAGTTAGATATATATATATAAGTAAAAAATCATTGATAATATCAATGCATACGTACCGAAAAATTGTGTTAAAGCATGCGGAAGAATATCTCAAAGAACGTTTTGCGACAGGACCGGTAACTCTGTAATTGTTTTTGCGGGAAAATATGAATGCCTACTCGTATCCAACCTTAGAAAAATCGAATTTTTACAGAAAAGTGTCTACCATGCACTTGCATTGCACTATTATTAGAACAGTAGAATAGAATGA